GGGTTCAGGGTCTATATGGTTTAGGGTTTAAGGATTCGGATTTGGGGATTGTAAGCGGGTGCAGAATCTGTAGGGTTCACGAGGGTTTAGGGTTTAGGGATTAAGGTTCAGGGCATATTGGGCTAAGGGTTGAGGGTTTTGTTTTTAATTATTGGCTTTGTAGTGTTTAAGGCTCAGGATCTACGGGGTTTGTCAATCTCGAAAACCGAAGTCTTCAGCTCGCCGTAGGTGTGGCAAATACAGGTCCTTTGCAGAGCTTGCTAGGTAAGCCCAAACCCTAAACCCCCACCCTCTAAAACACCCCAAACCCTAAACCCCCTAAAGCCTCTAAAAACCTCCAAACCCTGAACCGGTCAAGTTTTAGTTTTGAGGGCATAGGTTCACGGGGAGGGCAGATGCACGCTCCTTCAGAGCCAAGACCCTGGTCACACCGACACGATCCTAATTACATGACCCAGGTCTGGGACCGCAAAAGATCCCAAACACCCGAAGAAGCGAAGGGTAGACCTACTGTAGGGACCTACGTAATTAATTGCCCAATACTATTGTTGACAATAGATACAGTATAGTGGGCCCCAAAACCCTATTCTAATTACTAAGGCCCCTATATTAAAGCTTTATGATTCTGTATCCCCATGCAAATCCCAGTTGGCCCTGACGGCTGCGCCGACACACAACATGCGACAGGCTGCTGAGATCTGCCGGCCAGCACTTCGAAGTGGACGCGTCGCTGAAGACGAAGCTTGCGGAACTGTGCCTCTGATGCGTACCGAAAACCCCAAAAGTAGGCAAAAGAATGGCCCAGAACCTACAAAGGGCTATCCTTTTGGGGTCCAGGTATACCCTAAACCCTAAAACCCTGAAACCCTAAACCCTAAAACCCTAAACCCTAAAGGTAAGAGGGGGGCTTCGGGCATCTTCGGATCTCTGAAGCGTGCGACATGTGAGCGCCTTCGGGCCACAGGTACAGTCTCCCTTGAGGCTCCTTTTGGTTTAGGGTTTTCTGTTTGGGTTTTTTCGTCGTTAAACCTTTTGGTTTTGGGTTTTGGGTTTGGGTTTTTTTCGTCGTTAAACCTTTTGGTTTTGGGTTTTGGGTTTGGGGTTTAGGGTTTTTTTGTGGTTAAACCTATTCGTGTCGTTAGAGGATCCTGGCAGAATATTGGCGAGAGAGAAGCAAGCACAAGAAACTACAGGGGGGAGTTGGCTAGGGCATTGCTTTGAAGGTTCACGGGGGTTTGGGGTCGAACGACTTTGGGGTTGAGGTCCCAATAGAAAGCCGACCAGACCTTAGAAGCTGCCCCCACCATGTAAGAGTGATTATAAGGATAATATTAGGGCCCTATTATATTTCCTATTATACCACTATTAATTATTACAGGGTGGGGGGCCCCTTCTAAACCAGACCCCTTATTTCCAACCCTATAAACCCCAAAGCGTGGACCCAACTTGCAGGAGTTTGGACGCCTTTGGGAGGTATCGGGAGTGGGGACACGAGTCCCTGAGTAAGGCGAGTACAGGGTGTTACAGGAACTAAAGCTAAAGGTTCAATACTCCGCAAGATTCCAGCTTCGAGTTTAGGGTTTGGATCTACTTAAGGGTTCAGGGTTTGGGCTGTAGGTCGAATCTCGTGTTAAATCTCCCTTGCATCCTTTACCTGGGGTTCAGGGTTCATAGGGCTCATAAGTGCCCAAACCCCGGAACCCTATGAACAATGAGCCCTAAACCCTAAACCCTAAACCCTAAATTGAACATCCTGGGGCAACCGACCGGCAAGGCTCGAACAACTTCTGTCGCAGCAGCTCTCGGCCACACCGCCCTCAGCGACAGCGCTGGGCCGCTTTGTCCTTGTTGTTGTGTTTGCGGTGTTAATCAAGGTGGGGGTCTGGAGTTCAGGGTGCACTTACGGTTTAGGGTTTAGGGTTTAGGGCTTAAAGCTTAGGGTTAAGGGTTTACGGTTTAGGGTTTAGGGCTTAGGGTTTAGGGTTTACGGTTTAGGGTTTAGGGTTTCGAAAAAGTTGAGAGTTGCTGCACTGCCCCTAGAACCCAAGAATGTCACGTGTCTTCTCAAATTTCTGTCCTGTGCCCGAAACCCAAACCCTTGAGCCCACCAAAACCTCAAATTCCTCGAACCCTCCACTTTACGACTCCACCTCTAAACTGCGAACCTACATCTCTAAACCCACTCATAGACCGCAAACCCCTAAACCCCAAGCCCTAAACCCTAAACCCCTCCCCTTCGGCTCCTTGCTCAAGCAAGGAGCTTCGCTTCGCGATGCACTCCAAGGAGAGCTAAGTGCTCAGGTGCGGCGACCCGCTGCCAAAGGCCACTTCAAGGGGGCTTTTAGGAGTCAGTTTTGCGGGGTTTGAGTGAGGATTTTTAGGGGTGGCGCTTAGGGCCCAGGGTTCGGCGGAACCCTGCACCTTTCTGGCCTCCCCGCGGTCGGGTGCCCATACATGACTGCATCCTGAACCAATCTGGGCTTGGATTGTAGTGGTTTCGGGACTTTGGGGATTAGGCTTGAGGGCTTAGGCCACTTAAGCATTGATGGTTTGCATGACGGCATGGGCATGGGGGAAGACGCTGAGAGCCGATCAGAGCCTGTACGTGAAGGATCATGGGACTCATGGGACTTAGTAAGTAGGGTTATAAGTACCTTTAATTGAGGTTATAAGTGGTTGTAATTATAGTTCCCATAATTAGAACCCTAGTTACGAAGTCCCATGACCCTTTAAGTAGTCGACCTGGCTGATGGCGATCCACAGACATCAGGCGGGTACTTCGCAGCTCGCTGGGCGCCTTAGATCGGAGAAAGAGCTGGATTGAAGAAGGTTCAGTTCAAGCTCATCCAGCTCACTTATGCCAGTGGCGAGAAGATAGCAAACACTGCTATCAGCAACAGCAAAATCAAGCCCAATGACACTATCGTTGCTACATTAGGCAACACACAGGAGCGACCCCTGCATGCTTCAGGACTACGACGAGGCAAGTCTGTCAGCTTCGGAGGCTGCGACTCGTGTCGAGCATCAGCTGACCGAGTTTGCAGCAAGTGTGCAGCAGCGGGTCCTAGCTCTCTACCTTCTTCACTTGCTTCCTGGCCAGCTCATGTCGGAATGCAAGAGTCATCGAGTCATCGTGCAATCTGGGAAGGCTACTTTCAGTGATTGCCAATGGGCCACTCGTCCCACACCACCTAGCCAAATGTCCACTAAGCTTCGGCTGCTGTACATCAGAGCGCTACAGAGCGGAGTCTTCACGCCTACACAGACGTCGGAACCTTGCCGCGGGGCATCATTTCACCGTACTGTCGAGTATAACGCAGCAAAGGCGGCAATTACACTCCACCAGCCTGGCATGCTCCACAACCTAAGCAGTTGTAGACGGGTTCACGCTTGATGCCCTAAAGTTCGAAATTTCGTGTCGTTTTCTCCCATCATTATTACTCTATGTTTAAGGACCTGCGAACCGCCAGTGAAGAGTACTTGCGAGGGCCTGGCAAAACCCAAAGCCCTACAACCCTAAAGGAGCAAACTCACATCAGTCCCCAACCAAACCTTAGTTAAAGCCTAAACCCTGAGTCAGCCTGCCAACTCCCACCTATAAAACCCTGCCTACCCGATATCTCGGGTCATGAAATCCCTTTATAGTATTTTATAGTCATGCTGAAAAGCCAGCTACGATCTTGTGCAGATCCTGAGAACCCGAACTAGGATGCACAGTAGTACCCTTATTCCTTTTTTGTAGTCCTAGTTCCCTATAAAGTTACCCAATACCAAAAAGGGAGCCCTTTTTATTCCTAGGTTACTGGGCATCCTAGCGAAAGAGCTTAGCACGAGATTCAGTCACGCAGGGCCCGAGATGCTGCCGGCCCTCTCGGTGCCCAAGAGCACGCTGCGCAGAGGCGGCGGTTTGAAGGGTGTTCTTTGTTTCAGGCTCAGGGTGAGGATGGCGCATCATGATTCATCGCTATGTTCAGTAGTTATCATGATTCGGATGACTAACTATAAGGCCTGAAAATTTTCCTGTGCTCTAGCCAAGGATACATGAACTCACGCTGAAGAAACGCGGCAGGCAAATAATGACCCCACGCTACATTCCTTGGTAGCAACCTGATAGGCTTCCAGTTGGTGCGTGGTTTGGCGGCTCCAGCATTTTACGCTGTAATCTAGGAACCTGATTGAGAATCCATGGGCCTTTATTCGGGGCTCCGTATATGAATCCTACTATTTTGGGGGTCATGTACCCGGGGTGTCTTCATCAGTTTCCTACATTAGGCTTTAACTTCACACCCTAAACCCTAAATCCTAAATCGTTGATCAAGCTCGAGCCACGAATTTCCAAGTCCTCCGAGCCACGAATGTCCAAGTCTGTTCAAGAAATAGCCTTCGAGCTCACAAACCTAGATACGCAGCTCTAAACTCCGTGCCAATTCCGCTGGCATTTGGCCCAGGATTTGAGTGCTCTGCCTTCGGGACGGAAATTGATAGTTGGCTTGGTCTGGGCGCGCATGCACCCTGCCCCAAACTCGCAAGATACATCCCCGCACCCCAAACTCAAAGCTGAAAATGTGCCCAAGCTCCCAAGGGTAATCCCCTAAACCCTACATGGTAGATCCGGCTGCTCTAGGCCAGAACCTAAGCCTGGTTTCCTTACTAACATAGGAGGAGGGCATAGGGTCTTTTCATGGGGTTTATTGCGGTACCATAAGGGCAGGCCTTGCTAGACCAGGATTCTCGGGGGGTGTCTGAACCCGCCGTGACTCCCAAGCTGACTCCCAAAAGCCAAAGCCTGAAACCGGACAGGCTCATTCAGTCCTCCAAGCCCTGACTTGAAGGATCATGGGACTTAGGAAGTAGGGTTATAAGTACCTTAATTGAGGTTATAAGTAATTATAAGTAAAGTTACCATAGTTATAACTCTAGTTACTAAGTCCCATATTTAAGTAAACACGATCCCAACACCCTGAACCCTAAATACACCCCGAACCGGAAGCCCCCGAGCCATGCTCAACATTCGATGGGCTTCCGGCGCCGAGTTGGCTGCAGTTAAGCCAGAGCTTTTTGAGGAGCCGCAGACGGTCCAGCTGAAGGAATGAAGCAGTTTCTGACTTTACTACAAGAAGTCGTCGACATTGCCAGCTTCTCCAGTGCCCAACCTTTCAACGGCGCTCTTAGCTGAACCGAAACTACTTGGGGTTCCCTGTTTATATGGAGGAGGCTTAGCATTGAGGAGTTGCCGGTCCGTCCAATAGACGCACAATATACCTGCAAAGTTGCCTGTACTCCTAGAGAAGGGGCATCGATTGGGTTCTGAAGTGGTAGATCCTGAATTGAGCGCTCCCTATGTTTGGGGTTTAGGTCATTATCGGGTTTTACGGTGTAGGATTGTCAGATTTTGCTTCGGCGTTTGCAAAATCTTATATTCCGACCATGGGATCTCTTCCCCCCCCAAAAAAAAGACATTCATCAATGCCTCAAGGACAGATCGAAACAGGCCCACGCTACAGTTGAGGTATCGGACCTGGGTGTTCAATCTTCTGAATTCGCAGAGTTCAACTCTTGAGTACCCATAGGCCCCATAGTAGTTCTCTTTTGGCATTACCTTCTAGGATTCTACATATGAACCTCAAAAAGGAACTACTATGGGGCCTAGGGGTAAACTCTCATCAAGATTTTCGCGGTGCAGGAGCTCTGTTCGGAAGGTTTGCCGCCCGTGACAGCCCTGAAGAAGCATCTGCAGACGTTCTGCGGGTATCCGAGATTCAGGCGCGATCTCCGATTTGGAGCTGGGGTCTAGGTGTTCGGGAGTTTACGTTCCGGGTTTAGGGTTTAGGCTCTACTTTGTCCTATCCGGTCACCATTGCAATATAGCTCAAAGTCCATCTGCTTTGTCCTATCAGGCCCGAATTCCCTGAACCCTGAGTTATGCTTTGTGGGTTGCGGACGTCCGTGGTTCTGAGTTCTGGGTGTTCGGAATTCGTTGATGCGAGTCACCTGCTTGCTCTGCGGACAGAGGAGCACGAGGGATTGGCCTCCTCCATGTTGACCGACATGTCTTGCAAGCCGTGATGCTCATGATATGCAAAGCGCACATCTCGACTATCCGAGACACGCAGCATCGGTTCAAACTGTAGTCAAGCCTGGCACTGCACCCCTATGCGCTTTTCAGCCGGTGTCCTGAGAGATGCGCGACCAATCAAGATCTTAATTAGGCTGTTGGCCGCCGTCCTTGTCCCGGACACACATGAATTCAACTTCCGGGCGCAGCTGTAACTTCACGAACTCAACCTGAGGAAGCTCCTTTTTGTCGTTTCTTTTTTTTAATTCTCCCTGCTGATTATTTTGATACACGGTAAACTCGAAACCCTTAACCCTACACCCTAGATTCAACTGTCCTGTCTCTTTTCTGACATGACTACTCTTTGTTCGTGTCGAGGCAGAGAATCCTCTGGCAGGGCGGCATCGTCAGAGAAGAAGATGCCCTTGACACGCCTTTCGCCGGCTTTATCGGATTTTGAGATCGGTCTTTGCGATAGTATGTAGGATGAACGGCTATGTTATGTTCGTTCTCGAGTGTCCCCCTGGGACTGAAAGAGATCTGGACTAAAACATGCGAGTTTCGGGAGGAGCTGGATAGGTGAGTCTGCGAATCCTACCTTCTAGCTGTTCTAGCTCCTACAACCCGCCCTAAAGCCCCCAAATCCCCAAAACCCCCGAGCCCCCCAAAAAACCCACCAAGGCTCAGTGATCTGCAGCTGGTCATCCTTTCCTTCTCGGCCACCTCGCCGGGGGAGGCGGGTCTGCGAAAGCAGGTGCAAGGTTTGGGGTTTAGGGTTCGGGTTTAGGGTTGAGGGGCGTAGGGTTTATAGGGTTCAGGGTTTAGGGTTTCAGGTATACCGTCTAGAAGTTTCGGGTTCAGGGTTTCTGGTTGGGGTGGTCATTCGGAGTCGATGTTCAGCACGAGCCCGCAGCAGTCCCAAGAGCAGATGTTTCTGAATTGGAACTTTGGACGCTGGGCTCCCATACGGCCATACACTGCCTTCTGTTCTCTATTGGATTTTCAACATATTGGGTTGAGCCCTAAACCCTATAAACCCTAAAACCCCAAACCCGAATTGGATGTTCAACATGTTGGGTTGAGGGCGCCGTCGCATTTTGCTCCACTCTCCCAGCACTCCAACTGAGCATCTGGGACTTCGTGAGAGCCCTTCGAACCCGCAGGTCCGTAAACCCCCAAACCCTGTAAATCCCAAACTCCGAAACCCTATAAACCAAACCCTATAAACCGTAAATCCCGACATGCCCAAGCCCTATAAACCCTGTAAGCCCTTGATTGACTAAACCCCCAAAAGTAGGTCAAAGCCCCAAACCGAGAAAGGCTATGAAACTACATACCTTCCCAAAGGGTCCAAGTATCATTATCGTATATACTTAAAGGGTATTTTGGGGTCTAAGTACATACCATAATACTTGGACCCTTTGGGCTTTGGTCCAGGTAATTCCCCTGCGTCTTACCCTGAGGTCGGCGCCCTCATTGGAGCCGCCGCGCTGGGTCGTCTCGAGGAGTTGGAGGCATTGGGGGTTGGGGTTTCGGGTTCAATATAGGGGCTCTTATAATTACCAATACCAAAGCCTTATTCTAAGTATTAAGGCCCCTATATTATCTCCAGAACACAGTGAGGTCATGCCTCAACAACTGGAGCTGGTGATCTGTGATCCCCATGAATCCCCAAATCTAACCTGCCCCCGGCCCTGCCATCCAAAACCCTACAACCCAAAAACCTTTAACTCAAACAACAACTGCCTAAACCCTCCACATTCTGGAGTTGCTCCGGAAGAAGGTCTTCATAGCAAAGACCCTCCCTCTAAAGCACTTAGATAGTGAATGGGGGAGCTTTAAACTTTTTGGCCTTATATATTAGCTCTATCTTAGAAAGTCTGGACTTTTTGGGGCCTGGTTGTTGAAGAAGAGAGAGTCCCATAGGCCCCAAAGTAGTTCCTTTTTGGGATTCCCTAATAGGATTCTAAATATGAACCCCCAAAAGGAACTACTTTAGTGCCTTAGGGTAAAGCAGGACAGGAATATAATAGGGCCCTAATATAATCCTTATAGTCACTATTACAGGGTGGTCCTTCTACATCAGGAGCTTCTCCAACGTCCTCTCGATCCAAACCTCGCCGGCGGTCACGGCTTCACGGCCCTCCACGCGTCTGCTCACGGGGGCCAGGCTAGGTCTGCCTCAGAGTGGTTCGAGGGTTTGGCATGGGGGCTTTATTAATATATAATATAGGGGCCGAAACAGTTACCAATACGATTTTGGGGCTAGCTGTTTCGGAGTTGTTTCGGTCTTTTATGGGCTTTTAAGGAAGGGGTTTAGGTTTTTTTGAGGGTTTTTTTGGCTACACGGCTCGCTGGTTCAGGTTTGCTACAGTTTTACAGTATAATAAGGTTTTAGCATGTTGAGTGCTTTTGGAGTTCAGGTTTCACGCTTTCGGGTTATGGTGTTATGGCCAGTCGGCGTGAGTAGAACCCTAAACCCTAAACCGCAAAACAATTGCGCAGTGAGGCAGTCCCTACTCCATGACCTCGAATCCGAACCTTATGTAGCCCTCTGTTTTTGGACCTTCAGGTCTTGGGGTTCCGGTTGGTTCACAGTTTATCATTGATGCTTGTACGGTATATATGGCTAGATAAGAACCGCTGGGGCTTCAGGTTTTGAATTAGGTCATGGTTCTGGATTTTGGGTTGAGGGTTCGTGGTTGTAACAGATGTAGGGTTCAGTGCTTAGGGGTTGTGGTGCTGCGGGTCAGGTGCAGGATTTCCACATCGTGCTGCTGCTAATCTCTGCTGGGTGCTGGCGCATAGTAGTTTATGTCAGTAGTTACTTAATTAATTAGTCGTTCTTCATGACGGTGCTTGTCGTGCTGGAACAGGGTTTTGCCCCAGGCTTTGCTTGAGATACAGGGCCTTCAAGGCTCTTGCAGCAAGCCCTGTTCTTTGGAAGGCAGGTCTTGGGCTTTTGAACACAACCCGAAGCTCTAAGCCCTGAGCCTTAATCCCTAAACCCTAAGCCTTCCACCATAAACTCTCTAAGCACCTTACCCATAGGCCCCAGAGCCCTGAGCACAGAAACTGAAAGCACCGCCAGGTTCGGGCGACGAGTCTCCTCTTGGAGGCACGGAATGGTGCTCCCTTGTCATCCTGTTGTTTCTTCTTCTCTTTGTGGGGGGTTCGGGCATGTAACGTATATACAGTTATGACCGAATATACTCGCAAACCCTACGATTCCCATGATGAAGGCCCCTGCAGGGTTGGAAGTCAAGGGTACGTTAAACTTCTTTAGCATTTGATTGTCCCCAAAGTTAAGTTCCCTGAGCACGAAAAGCGCAAAAAGAACCGAAGCCTTAAGCCTTGTCAATATGCCCGCAGCCCATACGATGAAGCCCCCATTGGCAGTCCTTGTGCTGTGAGACTTAGTATCTAGCCGCATGCTTCGTGAAACCACCCTACCCTATCCGCTTTGAAGAAGAAGAAAGACTTACGGTAGCGGGGTCACCGCGATGGGATCCGTTTTAGTCAGTGTGAGTTGCTACTACCGAAGTAATCCTCATGCTCGTGCACCCTGGGACCTTTGAAGAAACGGGAAGTTCATCGGGATACCAATCACGGTTTCCTACAAAGGCTGTGGGTATAGCCGGTATAGCCATATAGGGTTGAGAAGTTGCAGATGATGGCTTAAGCACGTCTTGGTGCATGTTTTCGCAGCTTGTCCGGCTTGGCCCAGGTTACCGACAAATAGCAGTTTTCGGGCCCTACAAAAGGACATTGCTACCAGTTAGCCAGACCCCTAAGTGTAGTATTATTGTATTAGGGGCTGCTTAGTAGGTGAAGAGTGTGTGTGAAAACTACCCCCTAGCGGTGACATCGTCCCAAGCAGTATTATCTGCAGGTACTTTTTTGGGGCTCCTACTTGGAGGATCATGGGACTTAGTAGGTCAGGTTATAAGTACCTTAATTGGGGTTATAAGTATAGTTACCCTAATTATAACCCTAGTTACTAAGTCCCATGATCCTTTAAGTAGTTTGGGCTAGTTTTCATCAGCATGGCTTCGGGTTCATCTTGCAATCGAGGCACCGTTCCCATCTGCGAGCCCCGTCTTTGGCAGGATCCCAACAACCTGAGAGCCACTATCACGCAGACAACAATCCTACTGTATGCAACTGCATAAGTTTTACAAACTAATCCCTTATCAAATCGCCATCAAGGCCCGACTAAAATCCCCATGGAGGCTCTGCGAAATACCCATGAAAGCACTATTACAAAATCCTTTTTCTCGCTCAAGCTCCTCGGTCACAGGCCCTGGCGGCCGTCGACCAGGCCAGGTGTTTCTTGGAGATTTTATCATTTTAGTATAGGAGACCGGAAACAGCTAAGGGGTTGTTCAATACATCGATTTAGATTTGGGCGCTTGTTGTAAGACGAGAGGCGATGGATTCATCATGCTACTTGTCTGTCGTTTGGGCTTAGAGTTGCGGTATCTTGAGCTTCTGGCAGGCCCTGTAAACCCTAAACCTCCCAACGCCTGCCTTTCGAGGCTTCCGATTTCATTACACGCGTCCTTCGAAGGGTAGGGTTTTGTCGGCGGGTTGAGGTCAACCTTGGGTTCTGCCCCCCCCCCCCATGCAGGAACAGTCGGCAGACTATCAAGGGCCTTGCATATCTATATCGTCAATATTGCTCAACTGTTACTGGCTGGGGGCAGCATCCATGGTAAATCCCTGGTATATTTTAGAAGCTGCCCCCACCCTGTAATCGTGACTATAAGGATTATACTGGGGCCCTATTTTTCCTATTGTACCACTATTACAGGGTGGGGGCCCCTTCTAAGGTATGTTTGCCCTGGCAAGTTTCGGGCTTCCAGCAGGCAGGCCCCGACCAGACGACGCCCCTCTTCATGGCAGCGCAGAACGGCTTCTCTGAGGCGGGCTTCAGTAGGGGCTTCGGGCGTAGGTGTTTAGGGGTTTGAGGTGCAGGGGTTCTGGGCAAAGTTTAGGGTTTAGGTGGTTAGATGTTTCGGCTTCTCGGTATGAGAGCTTCTAATGTCCCAGCAGGCGCCACCAGAGAGTCCACAAAACGGTGGAGAAAGCACAGTTGCAAAGGTCACTTGCACAGGAAGCAGGTGAATTAATTCACTGAGCTCACGGAGCCATCCTATTTTTGGAAACCTTAAACGCTAAACCATAAATCCTAAACCGTATTCTTGGGATGAGAGCGTCATCAACACGAAGTGTTTGCTTTTTGTTCGGCCTGCGGCTTGAGTGTAATACCGAAGGCTCAACAACTACAACTACCATTTCATAAGTATACTATAAGTTTCCCGGTATAATATACCCCCATAGCCTTTCTATGTATAGTATAAGTTTCTCGGTATTACAGCCTCGTTTGAATTATGACTGCCCCTATGTGTAGAAGGCTTCTGAGAATGCCGGCTCCCGGCTCCCTAAACCCTGGGACGGCGCTGTGGCGGTTTAGGGCTTGCCTGGACCCCCAAAAGTATGTAGAATGCTAGCCTTTTATAGGTTTTGGGCCATATTTACCTACTTGTCGGGGTCTGGGTATGAGGTTTAGGGCTTTGGGCGTGTTTTGTGGGGTTTAGGTCCCATAGGCTCCATGTACCTTTACAGTAGATACTTAAGCCTTACAGGGGTCCCTGTATACTGGTAGGTACTTTAAGGCCCAAGTATATACTACATGGGTACATGGAGCCTGAGGGGTTTAGGGATGTTCAGGGTGTAGAGCTTCTGTGCAAGCCGTTGCATACGGCTCCCAATAGACCCAAAGGATTGTGGATAGTGGTCTGTGATTCCCGACGGCTTGCTTCCGGATTGCGGATTTGGAATTTCAGGGGATGGGCTCAGCTGGGTGCAGATTGCCCTGCACTGACTTCTTCATGTACCGACATATCGGGGTTTCCGAACGTCGGGGACCCGAAATAGCAGAATCCTTATGATAAGGACCCCCAAATAAGGTACCCGCCAAATTTTCGAAAACTCCCATATTGAGGATGCTACTATTCAGGGTCTGTCCTTTGAGCCGGGAGGCCTTATCCCACCATGCCTTGAACCCTAAACTGGGTTCTTGTTAAGGGGTTCAAGGTAAGTTACCACAATGAGTAAGCCCTTTTCTTCACTTTAGATCCCTATATTATGGTAACTTAACTGAACCCAGTAAACCCCTGAACCCTGAAACCCTCGTAAACCCCAAACCCTAAGCATCCCTTAACCCCTAAACACCCTAACCCCCTGAACCCCGAAACCCGGACCTTCCAAAATCCCTCAAGTACGGGATCTGATTTAGGCATATATCCCTGAAAGAAGGGGAGTTTGGAAGGTCTGGCTTCGCAAACCCCATCGAGCCGAGCATAAATCGGTACGGCCCCCATTCAGTAATAGTTGAATAATGTTCATAATATAGATATATGAGATATATGAGGACCTTCATAGTAGCCCTGTTGTAGACTCTTACTGTATGGGGGCAGTACCTCAAATCTCCCTGAGGTTGCTCGGGCCTTGTTGGAAGCTGGTGCCGACCGGAACCGCGACTCCTGGTTGCTTCAAGACGGGATCTACTATTTAGGGTACTATAAAGGGGGTAGGGTTTAGGGTCTAAAGTTTCCGAAAATTATGGGTACCTTTTTGGGGGGTCCTTATAATAAGGATCCTTATAATTTACGGCACTACATTAGGGTCTCCCATTTTCGGAAACTCCCAGAGGACCGGAGGACATTATTCATTTCAGATCTGGGGTTGAGGGTTTCGGGTTCAGGGATGTTTGGCGGTTAGGGCCACGGGGTTGAGGGTTTACTAGGTAGGCCTTCTAAAACCCCTCTAAAACTCAATTCAAAGAGCCCACCCCTAAACCCCAAACTAAACCCCTAAAGCCCAGACCCGACCTAGACCCCCCAAGCACCCTTTATTGTAGCCCCAAATTACTTCTTAATGAGAAGTATCAGAGCCGTTTAAAGGGCACCTGGGGGGGTCCTGGGAAACCCCAAAAACCCTAAACCCCAAATCGAAACCAGGATTGCACGGACGTGGGTGCCACGCCCATGTTCATCGCAGCCGGCCGCGGAAACTTAGAGGCTTCTCGCAGAGCGAAGTCTAGGACTAGGAGTTCAGGGGGTTGCGGGGTTTAGGGGTCTAGGTCTCTAGAGTTGCGGATTTAGGGGTCAGGGATTTACCTTAAACCCTAAACCCTACCAAACTAGGGGTCTAGGGGCGGACTTAGGGGTTGTTAGGAGGATCAGGCGACAAAGAAAAAGTTTTCATTGGGTCTGGTGCAAGTTATGCGGTGCCGTAGGGGTATAAGTATCAAAGGATTGGGATAGATCGAAGCGTGTTGTTACCTGTGCTATTCCGTGGGGTTGCTTTGAAAAACATATGTAGCAGAATATTCAAACTCCCCAATTAAAGGGGTTAGGGTTTGGGGTTGGTGTACGAAGACCTTTAGTTTTGGGTTTCGGGGCTTTCGGGGGTTAGCATTCAGACGGTTTGAAGTTAGGGGTTTATGCTGAAGGGTTAAGTTGTTCCAGACTATTTGCCAGGGGCATGTGTTCGGGTTACGGATTTGGGTCTGTTTGGAAGTAGGGAGTATGTACAACACCATACGATATCATACAAGCTCCTGCTGGCTTGCAATGACTAAACCCACTCTCTATCTTCGGCTGACTGCATTTTCCCAGCTGCTTGCTTAGAGTTACATGTCTTGGCAAGAAGCTGCAGGATGTACCATGTTAAGGGTTCGCCCATACTGCAGGATGTACGATGTCAAGGGTTCGCCCATAGCTTTTCATAGGATTCGGGGGTCACCGTGTCATGGCTATACACACTTAGCAACGCTACTTGGAGGATCATGGGACTTAGTAAGTAAGGTTATAAGTACCTTAATTGGGGTTATAAGTATAGTTACCCTGATTATAACCCTAGTTACTAAGTCCCATGAGCCTTTAAGTACTCCTGCCTTGGCTAAGTCCACTAGCGGCCTGCAGGTGGTCCGCATCTTGCTGGAGCACCACGCTGATCCAGACAAAGCCCAGATAGAGAACAGGGCCACGCCCCTGCTCATGGCTGCCTCCAAAGGCCAGTGGGGTCTTAAACCCAGCGCTGAGCCAAAAAGCATAAGACTCGCTCCATCGTTTTCCCAAATCGTATACCCTAGACATCCCCAGACGCGAAATCCGAAATTTCGGGCCTTGCGTTCTCCCAACACAGTAACTTAATTCAAAAGCTTAAAAGCCCCTCCCCAGGTCACGCCGAAGTTGTGCGCCTTTTGCTGGAGGCTAATGCTGATCAAGACTCCGACCTCACAGCCGGTAACTGGGATACGGATAAGAACCAGCTGATTTTAGTTTGTTGTTGTTCTGTGTGGTGTTTTGTAAGGTGTTGCAGACTTGCTTGCTGGGTTTGTTTTACGAACAATTTATAAAGGTGATACGTAGTTGAGAACAGACGTTGCATCGTACCCTAACTTAAGTATGTAAGTTCTTTAACCCCAAACTCACAACCTTAAACCCAAAGCCCCAAATTTTTAAATCGACACTCAGCCCACAATCTGAACGCTGCCGAGCTTCTTCATTATGGAATCCGAGAACCCAGGTGGGGTAACGCCTTTGCTTATGGCCTGCGTGCGGGGCCACACAGAGGTGGGCCATGATGAAAAAAACATGAAACCTCTCCCCAATATAGGGGTCGGAATGACCCCCATGTAACATATAGTACATTCTATACCAAAACCGTAGTCTAATTATTGGCCCCTATGCGAAGCCTGCTCAAAAACGTCCAAATAGTTGTTTTGTTAACCGTGCAGCCGGCTAACCAAAGCAGACACGAACTATAAGTAAGGTATGAACACCCTAAGCCCGACGTCCAAAGACCCTAAACTGCTATTGAAGTTTACAGTTTAGGTAACTTGGGTGCTACTGCTTCCCAGGTCGTGCGTGCCTTGTTGGATCACCATGCGGAGATAGACAAACCCTGCACGGACGATGGCACGACCCCGTTGTGACTGGATTGGCAGTATGGATGAAGGGGGGTAAGGAAAGGTTCCCAGTTCCCAGTTTCCTGAAGCTACGGTTTGAGGAGGACCCTAGATTCGGCGTGTCATGGACTGCAGTTTTGGTCCTTCCTTGGGTGGGCTTGTATGTATGCGAATAGTGAGTTCCTTGTCCTGCCTTCCGGGCCTTCGGATTTTGCTTGCGCAACAGAACGAACGAAGCTTGAAGTTGGAAATTCTGGTCCTTTCCATTGGTTGAGGATTCAGGGCGTCATGTAATCCTAGTGTTCTGTAGGTTCTATATTCCGCAAGCAGGAACATGGCTTGTGGCCGGGGACACGTGGCGGCGGCCCGCATTCTGCTGGAATCTGGCCCACCGGCTGCAAGTCAGCTCTGGACTCTTTGGGCCAATTCCAATCTTATTTAAACCCTAAGCCAACCAACCCTTCCCCGAACCCAGACCCTAGTAAAGCCCAAATGTCATCCCCCAGGACCCTAAGCCACAAAGGCGCGGATGTCAACAAGGCCTGCACTGACGACGGAGCGACTCCCCTACTTCGGGCCTGCGAGCGTTCGCACCTGGACGTCATCCGTCTGCTGTGTCCCGGCTGAAGTATCCTATGGCTCCAGTCTCCTGGATCATGCACTCCTGGGCTACATGTAATTTGCGGCCAGTAACCTACTATTGAAGTAACTGAAGCACTAGCGGGTACGTAAACCCTTTCCTTAGACACCCCGCCCCGAACCCGAAAACTAAACCCCTGCGCCTTGAAGCCTTAAATCCTAAACGCCACTGTGCAGCCGAGAACCTCGTGCAAAGTACTCAGGCCACTAATGTACAGATCCTCAGCTGAGGCTTTCCTTCCAAGCGGATGCGAACTCTTCCCTGACCACTTCTGGAGACTTTCCCCTGTGACTTGGCCGGTTCAGGCTCTGAGCTTGCGCGGCGCATATCTAGCGACCCGGACAAGTCTACAATTCGAACCAGTTCTGTTCCGGTTTATATTATTGTTAGTATGGGTTTATTATAATAATGAGGAAGAATGACGCGTAGTATGTATCTGATCAGGCTGTTACACTGGCGCACTGTCTCCTTTCGGAGTATAGGCAGTTTTTGTTTCTGAAGCTTCGGGATGGCTGGCTCTGACATTCGTCCCTATAGAAACCCTCATTTCTTGTAGCCGCAAGCCCTGAAATCCTAGTTTGGGGAGCTCTGAGCCCATGAGCCCTAAGTCCCCGAGATTCCCCAAGTCTAAGCCCCTTCCCCAGCATCGAAAAGTACCAACACCGCCTCCACATGTTCGCCGGGATTCCTCAAAGCATAAGTCACAAGAGAAATATAATATGGCGAAAATCTTGTGGAACCTGTGCATCAAAGGTTCATGTTCCCAGGATGTTGCATGGCAGGGATGCAGAGGAGCCCAGGATCAGCTAATGGCCTCCTAAACCGCCAGACTCTGCAATAAGGGATCTGGGATTCTGAGTGCAGGTATTATGGGGGCGATGCGAAAATTGGAAGCCGCCTACTCCGACGAACTGAAATCACAAGCATTACGTACCAGCAACGAAGGAAGCCTCAATCAAAGCAGACCCTCGTCGTGGAGGTACATGGCAGCGCAGCGGGGCGAAGCAGAAGCAGCACGGCTTCTACTCCTAGCCGGCGCAGACAAGGTGCATGGCTTCAGTTTTGGGTTCTTGACACTCCAGTAACTTAGATAGCAGGTCAGTTATTAGCCATATACATAGTATATTATAACCCGGTGGCCCCTTATTCAGGTTCGGGAGCCTTAGGCAAATTTTGGGGCGTTACAGACAAAAGCAGTAAAGTTCGGTTTTGGGAGTTTCCTGTTGGTGTCGTACTGGGGCTCTCTGTGGTTGCAACCTCACACAGCTCCAACGACAGCAACTTTTTCAATACCACCATGAATACTTGGAGGATCATGGGACTTAGTAAGTAAGGTTATACGTACGTTAACTGGGGTTATAAGTATATTTACCCTAATTATAACCCTAGTTACTAAGTCCCATGATCCTTTAAATAGAATCCTGAGAAGCCCGTAGAAGCCCTGTTAAGCAGGCTGTTGGCTTCCCTACTGAGCTTTGACATTACCTATAGTTTAGAAGCTGCCCCCACCCTGTAATAGTGGTATAATAGGAATATAATAGGGCCCTAATATACTCCTATACAATCCTTATGGTCACTATTACAGGGTGGGGGCAGCTTCTAACCTATAGTCTCCATTGTAGCTCCTTTTTTTGCTGAACCAAAATCTTTATTATAGGGTCTTAACCATAAAACAGGTTTTTACCAAAGCAAAGAACTAGACTGGAGACTGTAGGTATCCCATGATGGATTCAAGGTTCAGGTTCAGGCTTCCAAGGTTCCCTAAACCCTACCTTAACCCTGACTAACCTACCTGTTTAGGGTTCCCCGTTGTGATTTCCTCATATAATTCCTTAAAAAAAGGTAGGTTCGTCAGGGTTAGGGTACACCCTAAACCCTAAACCCTAAAGAACGAGTGCTTCTTGTTGCGAGTTGGAGGCTCAAGCTGGAGGTTTGAGGCTCATATTTTCTGAACGGGGGCGCGGGGGGGGGTTGGGGGGGGGGGTTCGAAGCCTTAAAGGAATTCCGGTTTTGGCAGGAGTCAAAGTTTTAGGCAGCCTATAGAGTAGCCCATTAACCATGCAAGTTGTGGCGCGCTGTTGTGAACCCAACTTGTAGCCGAGCTTTGTTGGGTTTAGAACTTAGGGTTTAGGGTGGAGGTTTAGAGCGTAGGCTGCTACGGGGTCGAAGTTTGTATCTTGTGGTTCAGAAGAAGGTATAGGATGCAGAAGCCATGCCATAGCACCAGAATGTTGCTTAAACTTATACCTCTACCCTGCCCTTCCCCTTCACACCCCGTCTTGATTGCAGTGATCGCGGAACCCTGAGCTACATCTCAACACTTTAACCCGTCATATAGGGGTTGGAAGAAGTGCTCATGGTATCCCCCTATTCGCAGTCCTTATATCAACTGTGTTATTATAATATCATGTTCGACCCTAAAAACCCTATGCCTAAGGCTGCTATATGTATGACCTCGAGCTCTCCCTTACAGCAGTGCGCAGCACAGGAGAAGGCGACCAGCAGGGGGGCCACGCCGGAAGAAGCAGCCCTGGAGGGCGAGCACAACGAGGTTGACTACATACAGTACGGTCATGGTCATGGTGTGTTTGTGTGTGTGTGTGTGTGTTTGTGTGTGTGTGTGTTTGTGTGTCTGTGTGTGTGTTATGGGGATTCAGGGGTTGAGGGGTTTTGGGTTTTGCGTTGGGGCATCTTCGAGCTCTGAACTAAAGTCCTCGAAAGTCAAAAGATGTGTGAACCCAGTGGCCTTATGATTTTAGACCGATCCATTTCTTGAGAGCGAATGCCTCATGATGGCACTGCAAGCCTAAAACTCTAGTGCCCTAAGCACCAAGAAGCCAAGCTTACCCTAGTTCCTTCTACCTTCGGATTTTGAGCTCATGCAGGGGCCTTAACAAATAAAATAGGGTTTGGGGTATATTATACATACTATAATTATAGTAGGGACCCCCCCCCAACACCCTATTCAGATTAATAAGGCCCCTACAGTAGGCTGCTGCAATGTACGACATTGGAAAAACGAGACTTCTGTACTATTGGTGCTCTTTCGGGATGACAAAGAGGTACTCCGCAAAAACCAACTCCAGGTCGTTCGCTTGTCCGTGAATTCGCCTTACGGGACCTGTTTAGGGTGGAGGGTTTAAGGGTTTAGGGCTGAGGGTAAAGAATCAAAGGGGAAAAGGAGTGACCCTTAATGGGGACCCCTACCATATAATGGGCTATATAATGGGTATATAATAGCTATAATAAAGGTATCTACCTAGGGGTCCTGCTTAAGGGTCCCTCCTTTTACCCTTGGAAAGAAGCACAACTATGATCAAGGCTTGGCACCCCCAATCACGCGAGGTCTTGAGCATACTCGCAGCCTCTCTCGCTGAGCTGGAGCACCCGAGTCGAGCAGAGCCACATCCAAAGGAGTAGCCTAAGGCCCCAATACCAGAAAGCTCAAGAATCTAGGGCACTAAAGTCGGGAATCCTCAGAGCCTACAGTCCTCTACCCTGATGCCCTGATCTCGCCTTGCAGCTGCATCCCCCTTTGCTTTAGTGTATAATATGGTTTCGGATTTCGGCTTTAGGATTCCTCATTTTCTAAACTCAGGCGTGCGTCGTCTCACCCGAGCCAAGAACTCAGAGAGATCAGCTCTCTTTTGACGACGATGTACGGTGTTTAGGTATCAATCTGTCTGATCAAGTCTTGAAAAGGCCCTTATTGAAGGCACACAGAGGCAGCCTTTGTTCATATAGCTTGACTAAGGGGTGTTGGTCTCTCTGAGAGCTCCTTGGTTTATCCTCCCCTTCAAAAGAAGCGGGCGAGTGACAGCTTTCTCAGGCGATGTGAGCAGGGTCATCGGAAAAACCCTGAAACCTCCATCATGCTGCCTTAGTCTGTTGTAAGTGTTTGAAGCTAGGGTACAGAATTTGGGGTGCAGGATATGCGGCTTCATGGTTCGGCTGGATGTAGGTCACGGGCTTAAGGACTCTGGAGTCGCAAAACCAAAATCGAAGCTCTGTCTTTCAGTTCGGGGTAGAGTCCGGGTTTGCATGTGCCAGTCTGAAGATGTCACCTTTGTCTGGAACCAGCCACCTCTTGTCCTCCTTTGGGATGCTCTGATTCCAGTTTCCCCGTTTCTTTTCAAGTGGGGTGTGAGGTTCAGAGTATTGGGGTGTTGGGTTTTTGGGATGTTAGATGGAAGGCTCAGCCGAGAGGCTTTTCAACAAGAAGTCTCGTGGGGCCTGTCATCGGGCCACTCTTGGACTTAACAAGTGCCCAGAGGGTCCATAGATAGATATATATATATATATATATATATATATATATATAATACCATTATGGAATTAGGGCCCCAAAACCATAATAGAGATGGTCTTTCAGGACCTAATTCCATACTGGTGGTGTATATGGACCCTCTGGGGTGTTCTCCCGACCCATGAACAGTGGACCGTGCAACCGCAATCACGCAGACTGATAGCAGCAGGCAGCTGCACAGCCAACCGATTTCACATCGGTGGCGGGCAAAACAAGCCCTAAAGCCTAAACCCTAAAACTCTAAACCCTAAAAAATTCGCGCGACGTGCAGAGCCAGAAAGTCAGAACTTCGAGTTTAGAGGTGTGAGCCTTGCTGGTGAGTGCTTGCGGCTCTTATTGCTGAGGTACGTACTGTCACAGTTATGTTACGTTTCCTCTGTGTGGTAAGGGGGCCGGTTTCTATGATTAAGTGTGTGGTAGTGAAGCCTTTATCCGGACTATGCTGCCCATTTTGCTTGCAATTGATATTGACGCTGCTGTTCAGCGTGACTAATTTCTGGTTTGCAGAAACCTCTTGAAATCTGTGACACCGTCGGCCCCGTCGTGAGACAACACTGAGCTAAACTAATTAAAACGAATCCTCATGCCTAAACCCATCCTGAGCTCAAAATCTCCTGTCAAGTTTTTTTCTCAAAAGCCAAAATCTCCAAAGCGCAAATCCGCAGCCCCTCATCCCAAAAACCCTGTTTCCCTATCCTAAGCCGGATCTTAAGAGCCGCACCCACTTTCCGGAAACCCAAATCGGTTTAGGGTTTAGGGTTAGCCCCGTGCATCTGCAGGAAAGACCGGATTCCTTGAGCTGCCATGTGGGCATGGCCAGACACCCAAGGGCCCTAAACAAATTGAATAGGGTTCCTTTAAAGGGATCTACAGGGGTGAAAGGGAACTCTCTAAGGGTGCTATAAAGTAGAGAGGAGGGGAGTCCAAGACCACGGTGGGTTCAATCCTAATTTCTGAACCTTGAACGAATGGACTGCACAGTGCTTTAATTCGGTGTGTAGTTGGTTTATGGTTGCAGACTCCTAAATCCTAATCTTGCTAAAGCTGTAGATTTAGATTTAGCCTGTGGGTGTCGGAGTTTCCTAGATGTAGAAACTCGGCAGTGCTCTTCTGCAATCTGATCGCGACGTCGGATGTCTCAGTGACCCAGATCGAAGATGTTGCTGGCTTCGTTTTTTTTGTTTAGCCGCCAAGAACATCCCTAAACCCTAAGTCATCTCAAGGAACAAAGGTAATTAGAGTAGGGAGCCCCCGAAACGCAACAAAAGCACCCAGAGACTTAAAGTGCTGGGCAACTGTGAAGTGAGCTCCCAAGACCCGAATGATTTGGGTTTAGGGTTTAGGATACTTGTGAAGTCAGCTCCCAAGGCTTTAGAGATCTGGACAACTAGTATACCACCATCCCCGCACAGTCCAAGTATCGTAAAGTGCAACCCCGCCCCCGATACGCCAGCGAAGAACTCATCGAAACCCGGAAGATCCAAAAGATGTTTTCAGCTTAGGGTTTAGGAAGAGACCTTCAGAGTAATATAGGGGCCTCAATAATTACCAGTACTAGTTTGGGGGTTCCTTGTTATAATTGTATAGTATGATATACCCCAAACCCTATTCCAATTGTTCAAGCCCCTACAGTAGGGGTCCAATCTTTACGCCTGACAGATGCTCGCGGCGAGCATCCTTTTCGACCACCTGCGGCTTCTGTGACGTGTCTGCAGCTTCTGGAGTCCAGAGCCTGTAAGCCTCTATACCGAACAAGACTCCTTTTCGCGCTGTCGAAGAGAGTCATTATGCTACAGCCGTCAAGTTGTCGTGCTAGAACGCAAGCCTCGCAGTAATGGTCTTACAAAGTTGAAACGGAAGGCCTTCATGCACGAACAGCAAACTACGGGGAATGCCAGCACGAATCAGTGTTTTTTGCAGCTTCCAGGTTTTCTGCACACGCAGGACTTACCCTATGCTTCCAAAAAGACATACAGACTGTGTATGGCATGGCAATGTGTGGCGTTTAGGCCTCATAAACTCGAAGTTCCGGAACTGAAGCCGTAGAGCTACAGGCCCTGAACAATCAGAACTGGGTTCTGTGCCGTACGGTGGATATGTCGTGACGTTTCTGAGCAATTTGTCTCAAACAAAGCCTTACGAGGGTCCGCAGTGCAATGCAGCCTGGAGCCATACGGACAATATTAGCAAAAAACTCCATGCACGCAGGTTGCAACCTTTTGCAGGATGCCAAGTTTTATCAAGAGCAAGATCCAGTCTTCAGTCCGAAGCATGCGCCCAAACTTGTAACGCTGGCCCCGTAACTCAATTAGGAACCTGACTAAGAAACCCTGGTCCTATAACCCCAAAATAATAGTGTTCAGATAAAGAAGGCTGGCAAAGACCTAGGGTTTCTGCATCAGATTACCCATAGGCCCCAAAGTAGTTCCTTTTTGGGAGTACCTTATAGGATTCTATATATGAACCCCAAAAAGGAACTACCTTGGGGCCTTAGGGTGTCTCCTCAATCCGACGTCGTTGCGTCTCGAGGACTTCACCTTGCATATGGCTTCGCCAAGCATGCCAGGGAGGACTTCATAGGGGCCGTGGTTTTAGGGTTCAGGGTTTATAGGTTTTAGGGTTTAGGGTTAGGGGTTTAGCGTTCAGGATATAGGGTTTGGGGGTTTAGGGTTTAGAGCCTGCAGCGAACCCCATGAAGTAGGAATATGGATTAAGGATGATACGTGCTAGGATCCCCTATACTTCCCTTTGAGGTCATGAGGATACTGGCTCCAATCGATTAGTTGGCGCTCCGTCCCCGCAGGAAGCTTTCCGTTGTCTTGGGCAGCGATATGATGGTGCTGTGCCCTGGCAAGCAGTGGGACTTGGAGGGTCGGGGGACTTAGTAAGTAGGTAGTAAGTAGACTTATAAGTACCCGAAAAGGGACCCTAATTGGGGTTAAGTCCCTTAAATAACCAGTTACGAAGTCCCCCGACCCTCCAAGGAGAGCATTGGGAGCTCCCACACAAGGCTTTGCGAACCCTCCTAGGGTGGGTATCTGTACCCACAGGCCCCAAAGTAGTTCCTTTTTGGGAGTACCTTCTAGGATTCTATATACGAACCCCAAAAAGGAACTACTTTGGGGCCTTAGGGTAATTCATGGCTTTCTAGAGCCCTAACACGTGGAGTGTCTCAGTTTCTTCTGCACAAGGGCATTGCACCAGATCTAGTCTTAAGAGTCTTGTAATTTGTGCACGTGTGAAGTAGCATGTTGTGTGTGTGTGTGCAACATTGTGGCACAAGTGCTCTGAGGGTAAAAAGGCGTAGATACCCAATGGTACAGCTGCGCTAGTCCTTAACACTTGGACGGGTATCATCAGTGCGTGTGTGCAGTGGTTTACAACAACTATAGGTTATCAGCCGTATAGCCTACGGCCTGGTCACAACTGGTTGGTTACAATACAATCAATCAGCGCATGAGCGAACCGGAACTTATTCCTGCAAGTATGGATACAGTTACAAGCACCGTGAACCCTTTTCAGCCCCCGGTCACGGGTGGCCATACAGGGAGCGGCGCCCCCGGCTTAGTTTTCCCGGCACCAGCCTCAGTCCAACAATTCAACGTCTTCGCACCACAGTATAGTGTCGAAGTACACGTTAACCAGATCAGACTGGAAGTCGGAGAACTAGAGGCTCAGGCAGAAGCTAGACACAGGCAACACATGCTGACCTATCAAGAAGCATCCGCAATTCACACAGCTGACTTGGAGCACAGAGCAGAACGAAACCACCTTGAAGTGGTGGCAGAATTGCAAGCGGCCTTGGCACAAAGCGAGTTCAAGGCGGCAAATCGCGAAAGGCTCCTGTTGTCGGAAATGACTTTAAGTCAGGCGCATTCCTATGACGAAGATCAAAGGTTGCGTCAAGAGCTAGCGGAACTTCAACAAAGCCGAATCACAGACGCATTGGATCAACATCTGGCGGAATCACGCTTTGCACAGAACCTCGAAGAACAGGCGAGACGGCACGTCGAGAATTCCCAGGAAGTCATGGTTGAACAGTTCCAAGCACACTTTGAGTTGGTTAGGAACAGGCAGAAAGAAGAGTATGAGGCGTCCCTTGCTGTATGTAGGG